TCTGAGTCACAGGAGGTGGTTTGCCACACACACTCATGTGCAATCCCACAAGCAACTAAGAGTGTTGACCAAACCACCCGACATACATGGCGATGACAAACTCCACAAATTTCTTCACACGTGCCACCCATCTAAGCTGACTGATTTCAGTTTCCTGCCTGGCTCCACACCTGCAGCTTCACAAGCTGCCTGGGAGCTGCCATGATGTCATCCCAATTCGGTTCCCCAGATGGGGAGGGCATATAGACACCAAACTTTGTGGCTAACCAGTCCCGACTGGCGGGGTGAAGTTTGAAAATACCAGGACACTTACAAAATCAATATTAAAAAAAAAAGTAATACCAAAAAAATAAATATAAAAATGAAGGGGAAAACCAAAAACATTCAAATGAAAAATGACGAAAGTTCCAATACCTAAGAAATAAATGTAAACGAAGAAAAGAAAGATAGAAAACAATGTAATGCAAGACAAGGGCACTTAATTAGGAGGCTCGTCTTGGGTGGCCAAAGGTGCTTCGACTTCCACACACACATGCCAGAATCTGAAGGGATTATCAAAGGGCCTTCACCCGGTCTGGTCCTACACAGAGTCGCAGAGTCTCAACACCATGATTCGATGCCAAGGCTGTAATCCCGGAGAAAAGCTAGTGGGAGTGGGAAAGGCACATTGCATCCAGAGGAGGGGGGGCAGGGCATGTCCACTGCCCAGGGATAGCACTTGTCTCAAGTGGTCCCGATGTCCTCCTGAAGACCTCTTCCACCAAAGGTCTGAACAACTGATGGCAGGGCTACCGCAGGAAGCTGTCTAAATGATGGGGGTGGGACATCCAGGCGAGGGCCATCCCAGGCATTGATGAGTCCCATGGTACCGGTCCTGCCCAGTCGGCCGGCCAGTGCTCTGGAACCCAAGTGACTCCATCGGCATGGCTCCCACCAGCACATCAAGGAGTAAGTTTCCATCCAATGTCCTGCTCCCTGCTTGCATTTTCCATAGTCCCTGATAATTTTCCAGGGTTCGGGAAAGTAGAAGAGACCACCTCAATTTCCAGGATACATGCTGGAGGGATTGTGATTCAGGGAGGATTGGGGGAAAGAGATAGAGAGAGGTTTGCATATGGCTGCTGTCAGAATGAAAACTGAAGTTGGTGGCCAGGAATCCCAACCAGAGTCCCTCTTTTGCCAATAGGCAAGCTAGATCTCAGGTGGCAGAGAACAGGAAAATATTCAGCACCTATTTCAGGTGTCATTTACAAAATAGAACATTCACCTCATGGACCAGCACTTCGGATGTGTTGTCGGAGTTGACTTTGATGTTTTTAGGAGCAGTGGGGTCCTCTTTGTTTCTCCTAAGGTGCTTTCACCTCTTCATCCCCACCGCGGGTTTCCTCAGTTCATTGGCATGCCATCATATGGTTTGATAGCAGTTGGTATTTCCCTAGATCCTTGCCTATCACCCATTCCCATAAGCAGATGGTGGACTGCCTGTCCTATTGAGCAGACCCTTAGTTGGATCCATGAATGACAAAGGCACAGGAAGCCCCAGCCTGGGAAAGTTTCCACAGTGCAGAAAGTGAAGAGCTGAGACCGCACCACCAGTTTGCATTCCTATGAAAGCCTTTCTAATACGGTTGTCATTTTCTCTGCAACAGGCCCCCTCCCATGCAGATCCCGACGGAGGCGGCTTGTTCTGAAGCCGACGCAGTATGGGGCTCTGCACACATTTTCCAGCAGAACCCATACCCAGGCATTGCCACCAGAGAACGACTGGCCCGAGAGCTAGACATTCCACAATCCAGGATCCAGGTAGGTTTCAGGTTCACTTGCATTTTCCCTGGGGAACAAGTCGTGGACACAATCAGGCCCAAGCCACTGCATGTCATTCTACATGCTCAGCTGGGGAGCTAAGAAGCTTTGGCCCCTGTATGTGCATCTCTTTTTCAGCTCATGTGCTTTGCAGTCATTCCAAGTCATTCACTCGTGGAACCCAAGTACTATTGGAGGGCAGGACTGGGACAGTCCAACAGGTCAACACATCTTCGCTGACTTTCCCTAGAGTTCATTTTTCCAGTGTTATTGCATGAACCACACAAAACACTCTGAGACCTTAGGTATGAGGAAAAAAAAACATATATATATATATCTCATGTCCACAAGTGTTGCCTGACCTTTGGTTCTTCGTTTGCCAATTAGGTGTTGTTCAAGAACCAGCGCACGACACAGCTAAGGCAGAGCCAATTGGGGTCGGCCAAATCCCAAGGGGAACGGCAACCACATGGACAGGAACAGCCTCCAGCTTGGACTCAGGGTAACTCCCCAGCATACAAAACGGGTCTCTTCTTGAGCTTCTCCTCGACACAGGAACGGGTATGCATGGGTCTGCCATGTGTTTGGCAAGAAGACTTTGCAGACGAACCCATGACCACTGGTTCCAGCCGCCTTTCTGTGCCCAGAGGTGAACAATGTGCATGCACCGCCTGGTGGGCAGGTGCATTGTTTCTGGGCAAGAAAGGCTTTGAATCTTCTTGTCCTGAAACTGTGGGAAGGACAGAGTCCTCTTCTGGGGTCACCTCGGACTTTAGATCCAAGCACTGGCTTGTGTGGATGGGTCCATGCTGACCTCAGTGGACTCAGGGAAGGAGAGGCTATAGAGAAAATGGAGAAGCATGAGAGAACACACACACAGGCACACAAACACACACACTCATGCGTGCACACGGACACCAATTTCTCCTTCTACACTGGATGTGCCAGTGGCTTCAAAGCCCTCCTTTCTAACTCTATTCTCTTTTTAGAACATTTCCCAAAGGAAGGCAGGAGGAAACGGACATCCATTTCTCCATCCCAAACCAGTATCCTCCTTCAAGCCTTTGAGAAGAACTGCTTTCCAAGCATTGCTACCAGGGACCACATGGCCAGACTCACAGGTCTTCTAGAATCCCGCATTCAGGTACATTTTCAGAGTGTGGCCTGTGAGTTGTTCAACATGGAAAGGAGAGTGGCGCCTGAGACGTTGCTGGAGAATCGTGGGCTCCTTTGAGTTATCCACAGGATCCAGTGCCCAGGCAATGAGTGGAACGTGTTGAACTTGCAAGTGAGAGCCCGCCTAAGGAAGAATTTCCAAACCAAATGGTGTGTGTGTGTGGGGGGGGGGAGTTGGCAGTATACATGTGTGTAAAAATAGTGAGCAGACAAAAGAGGGGAAACGGAAACATTGGCACCTGTCTAGAGATCACACAAACTGTCAGCTCTTGAGCTGCATAGTAGCACTCTCCATGTGGCCCTCAGGATTTCCTGAGTGTGAATGGGGTTGCTGTCTTGTGTGTGGCAACGTGTTTGTCGGTGACCTGGGCCTCAGGACCCCAGGGCAGGAATGGATTCTACCCACAAACCACACCTTGTCTGGATAACCTAATCATCCAGGATAATTGTCCCAAGATTTATTGGCAGGTGGGTGAGAGGTCCCATGTGCCCTGGTTGAGAAAGCTCTGCAGAGTGGTTCCTGGTATAGGAGTTGTGAAAGGCCTTATGGTATATGGAGGCAGACTCTCTGGAAGCCTCTCCTTTGGGACAATACCAGGGACCCTGCCTCAACTGGGCCTTCATGGGCCAGTACCCTGACAAGTCTTATCCCTGGACACAGGGGAAGCTCAACATGCTCGTTCCTGAAACCTCTTCTTCCCATGTAGGAAATGGAGGAGAGGGAGAGCCAAATCTGAATGTGAGTGTTGTTGATGTGGATTCCTGGCTGCACATGCCTTCCTCTAGATCCATAAGTGATGTGCTTGTAGACTTACCTATCATGTGGATGTGAGGTCAGGAGGGCAAGTGAGGGACTGAACGAGCCTGCCATTTAAGCCTATCAATCGGGATCGATTCCAGGCCAGGTGTCCACAATTTCCCTGGGTTTTCACCTAGTTTCCAAGGGCCAGGTGAAAGTTATGGACAGAGTTCCCATGAGATTCAGACCAAGAGTACTGGCCTTCTCCACCAGAGATCCCAGGTGGGGGTAGGGGGAAAGAGATCTGATATCTAACCCTTCTTCTCATGTCCACAACATCTCTTCTCTGTCCCAGGTCTGGTTCCAGAACAGAAGAGCTCGCACCCAGGGCAGAGCAGAAATGGCCCCGTGAAGGACCTGGAAGCACACCTTAAACCCAGTCCTTTTGTGACAGTCCCAGTGGAACCAGGCCTCCTGGCCAGTGTCCCTGTAAGCTCTCCTCAACTGGCTCTGTCCAATCCTCTGGGAAGCATGCAGGCCCTTGCTGTAGGGACAACTCCCATTCCCTGCATAGGCTTTGTCCCTCCAGTTTTCTGTGGGGGCCTTGGGGGACAGGCCCTGTGGACCAGGATGGTCCCGCCCACCCAAGGTGGGCATGGAGGACAGAATTTCCTGCTGCTGGAGGCCTGAGGAGCCGTTCCTTGACAGGACCAAATCTGGGAGTGTTTCTCTCCATTCCACATGCACTTCTTTGCCCCCCGTCACAAGGGGGATACCAGCAGCAACATGAGTAAGCTGGCATGGCACCCCTGCCCTTCCAAGAATACCTCAGTGTCTAGCTGACAATCCTTCCTAAGGCTTGAAGGAGGCAGGGCATCCCGGGAGCAACTGCGCTGCACAGTGCTGAGGCGAGGGCTCCCAGCTTGTCATCGGCACAGGACAGGCTCGGGATGGGGCAGTTCTGCAGCCTGCACATGCTGAGACCCCTGGGTGGCAGCAGCAGGCAAATCCTACTGCAGGGCTGTCTGCTGCGCTCAACCCACAGCACCAACCCCATGCAGAAGCCTCAAGTTTTTTATAGGAACTTTTCTCAGCCGCAGAGATGGAAGAAGACACACACCCTTTTCTCAGTGGGCGTTTGTCGCAAGAGGACGCTCCGGGACTCCTGGAAGCACCCCTCAGCGAGGAGGAGTTTCACGCCCTACTGGCTATGCTGCATGACTCCACATGGCCTTAGGCCTAGGAGCAGGGAGGCCTCATCCTTCCCACCCCACACTCATTCAGATCTTTCCTGAGATGCAGTCCCAGCGGGTCAGTAAGGAGGCGAAATAGGCAGCATTGTGCATGTTCTGGAGGAAGACCAATGCCCAAAGCAGCATCCGTCACTTGGAAAGACAGAAGAAGGATGTCCTTTCTGCCCTGTGGGCGGGCCTCCATTGTTTTCCCGATGAGCACCAAGTTCCACAAAGCCTCTGAAGGCACCGTGGGCACCGGGCACTGGGCACCCTCCCCGACACCTAATTGATCCAAAGCACTGTCAGGACACACACGTGATCTCCTCCCTGCCATCACCCTTTCCTCTGTAGACTGGGAAGCCCTGGCCCTGGCAGCCAAACCAAGAAAGGAGGAGAAGTCGAAGAAGGACACCTCCACATGCCTTTTCCTCCTGCCCAGTCAGAAAGTCCCATCTCCAGGAGCTGAACGTGTAGACCAAGACAGGACGATACACATCCTGACCGTGGGAGCCCAGGGTCACAAATCCATCCTGGCTGGGATAGGCTGGGAACCAGCAAAACAGGAAACGAATGCAGTCTCCCATCTCTGAGTGATCCTGTCCCAGCCAATGTCTGGAATGGCCTGGGGCCTTTGCCTGGCATCTTTGCCCCGGGGAAGCCTTTCCAAAGAACACAAAATGACTGCACGAAGGGCCACAGCCACTCTCAGCAGGCATTCCAGATAGGGTAACAATTTGGCTCATTCCTCAAACTTAGCATTTGTTTTCTCTTATGTTGGTATATATCGGATGCCTCTCTACCCACAGTGTTCCTTCACTTCTCAGGAAGAAAGAAGATTTTCCCAGTCAGCCTCTTGGTGGCCGTCTGTCAGCAGGGTCACCTCTCTCCCTTGCAAGGACTAACTTGGAGGACATCCATACTGGAATCGCAAGCTTAAGGGGACAATCCATTGGTCCAATAAACCCATTTTTGCCTCCCCAATGTGATCTCTTGGTTGTGATTTGTTCCATTTCCCTCCTGTCCTCTCATGCCTGCCAATCTTCAGAGATGTGAGATGCTTCCTGGCCCTGGGACCGGCTGTGGAAGCCATTGGTATGACCAAGTCCAGTTCACAGCTTTGGGCACAGACATCCTCATGGGGCAGCACTAACACTGCCTGGCAGTCATCAAGCTTCGCCTGGATTGACGGTGCCTGATGAGCAAGCATTCCTCCAACTGATGTAAGTTGAACCCAAGTGGCAGACAGTCCATGCACATTGTATTTGTTCCCACAGTTCTCATCAGTGGCCAAATTCATAGCTAATCCTCATCCTACTATGCTGGCAACGAATCTCCCTCCCTCCCTTGCTCTTTGCCTCCCCCATCTCTCCTTGTCTTTATTTCGTCAGATCTCTGTCTCTCCATGTCTATCTCTCCCACTTTATCACAGTTTCCCTAACAAGTGGACACACACAGATGTCCACCCTGTCAGGGCATCATGTTTATGCAACTCACAGTATAGGCACTGAACCTCCAGAAAGGATTGTGGGTCAAAACATTTGGAAGAATAAGGTGGGCTTTGGTGGGTTTTTTTTCTTGGGGTTTTAATCTGCCCCTACCTGTTTGCCATATGCCCTGGGAGAGAAGAGATTGTAGAGTTGGTCATTTGAGCCCCCCCGCCCGCCATGTAGAAAACACATCTGTGTTCCAAGGGGGAAGGAACCAAAGAATACCTATCTTGGTCGCTTCTATCCAAATAGATCTCTATCTCTATCCACATTCACATATGCACAAATATATCTGTATCTCCATGTCTCCATGCGTCCAGATCCATGGGTGGATCGTGTTTATCTTTCCATAGATATAGCTTGTGGTAGAAGCCCTCCACATCTCTCTTGCCCTAGTGTGTCACTCTTCCAGTTTGCTCTATGGACACATCTACCTGTAGCTTCGGTAGACAGAGTGGAAGTGTCTGTCCCTCTCACTGAACAGTGTGGGTTAGAATGTCTGAAATGTGGCTGGTCAAGGTGGCCTTGAGACCGACTGGGCGTTTGTTCTGTCTAGAGAAGCCACGTGGAAGGATGGCTCACTTGCAGTGGTGGCAACACTGCGGTCTGATCTGAGAGTGTCTGGGAGGTCTCTGCAACCGTGGGGTTGGCACTTCTGTACATAGGACATGGAGGGAAGAACAGAACTGTAGTCACATTGGGGTCCAAGGTCAGGCAGGCCAGAGGAGGCTCAAGTCTGGACTTGAGCCCTGAAGCCTGTCCTGTCAACAGGTGGCCTGTTCCATCCATATTGGTGAGCTTTCAGGGCCCTGGCATGTGTGCAACAAGGAGCCACCACTCTGGGAAATCGCCTGCCAGAGGTGTCCACGTGGAAGCTGGCAGGAGTCCACCAGCTAGCAGGCTGTTGTTCATGGCCTTTGAGGCCAAGGCCCCAGGGGCTATGATCTGCAAGGACATCCTCACACAACTGTTCCTCCCCTGGGATCCCTCAAAGTGAGCCTCTAATCCTCGGATCACCCTGGCCTGGGAATGAGTGATCAAGATCTGGACACACATGTCTCCAAGACATCCTCTTGGGCCTTGAAGGCTGCTCCCAGTCTTCGTGAGAGTCAACCTCAGGCACTGCCTGGCTACCACCTGCACTGTAGGGACAGAGAAGTCCATAAAAGCAACACAGAGCCACACCAGTGGTCATTTACCCTAGCAGCTCCAAACAGGACTTGACACTTGGACCACCTTGGGGGATTTACGCTTTCCTGAGAGGCACTCTGTTGAGGATGCTGCCCCCAGAAAAGGTGTAGGGCACCCTCTGTGGAGGCCCTCTGCCCACAACTCTCCTCATGCTACAAGCCACCACTTGGACGAGGCCAGCCAGAAATGCACATTGGAAAGACACCAACCACCTGGTCAAGGCTGCAACCCTGGGGCTTGCAGTAGATGCGTTCCCTCTCTTTCTGTAGACGCTCTTTCCTTGACCTAAAGCCACTGGTTTCACTGTCACTGAAACACAAGTGCACACCAGCAAACCCTCAGAAACACACACACACACACACACACACACACTTACCGCTACAATTAGCGAATGCTAATGGACTCCCTTCAAGTCCTGGGAGAATGAGTCCCTTCACCACCTATTCCTACTGGGTTCCACTTGTCTCACTTGCAGTACACCTGATGGACTTTCAGAGCCCTGTGGCCAAAAGGATACAGGAAGAGAATTTGGGTCTGTGTGTCCCATTTTGTTGGAATTGCTGGTAGGTTGTTTGCTT